GTTTTGGACTCTTTAAGTACGAGGGTTAAAAAAGCCCGTCAGTTGGGGCTTCTCCCACTCGGAGGTGAAGCATAAGGATAGAGGTTAAAGCCAGCCCCAGCTACCTAGTGAGCTCAAGTCTAGCCTGGACTACACAAAGTGCTATCTAAAAAAAGAAAAAAGAAAAAAAAAAAACAAAAACAAAAAAAAAACAAAAATCAAAAACAAGCAATCAAACAATCTCAAAACGTACAGGAATCACTTCCTCTGAAAGGAGGGCACATATTAAAATCCAAATAAGATGCATGCAGTTGCTGCAGCAAAGAGGAGGGGTGTTATGTGGCAGTTTCTGAGATTAAAACCTTGCATCATAGAGGGAAACGTCCTAACACAGGAAGTTTATAGAGAGGAAAAACAACAGAATATCCTAAAGAGATTGAAGTACTACAAGAAAGCACCTTAAGACACAAGCTAAACAACTCCAAAAAGCTTCAGGAAATCCCTGAAATTGAGCAGATTCCCTATATACTTTATAAACAGTAGTCTGCTGAGGACCACTCCTAGACAAACCCACCAGAGGCAGATAATGCCTAGAATAAGGGCATGCTGAACATCCTGGAAGATGCTCAGACCAACTAAGCCACCAGGAAAGGACATAGTCCAACCTTTTGAGCTGTGGCGTATACTCCAGGTTTCTAGCTTTTTGTGAGCCATCACCATGCTGGGATGGACTTTGGTGAATGTGGGTCTTTGAGTCTTCTCTGATCCTGTAAGGAACCCCTCACTCATATTCCTCTAAATAACCTCAGTAAAACTCGTTCTTTGGGGCTGGAGAGATAGCTCGGCAGTTAGGAGCACAGGCTGCTCTACCAGAGAGGTCCTGAGTTCAATTCCCTGCAGCCATATGGTTGTCTGTAGTGACACCTGGTGCCCTCTCTTCTGGCCTACAGGAATACATGCAGAGATAACACTATATACATAATAAATAAAAAAATCTTAAAAATCAGACTTTAGTGACACACATACGTCGATCTAGGCAAGTGCCCTATCTGAGGTGAGCAAGCATGTGTTTATATACCCAGAAAAGGTCTGTCTTACGACAGAGGGACAAGCTGCTACTAGCAGTGTAAATATGCATCCCAGCACTAACCCCTGAGTTCATGTGTACCATCGATCAACTGTCCCTCCCCATCAACTCATTCCTTCCCACAAAGTCTTCAACATCACAGATTTGTGGCACTTCCAAAAAACAGGGAGGCTGCGTAGTTCAAGAAGCCTGGAGCCCACCCACAAGCTCTACCTGCTCTCCCGGGAAAACGTAAAGCCAAAGACCTCAAAGAGCCTCAAAGTGACTTTGGTTCTCACCCAATGTGTACCGAACACTGGATTCGGTCCTCCCGCATCCAAGGAGCTGAGGACGGATGGCGTGAGCAGCAAAAGCCCTGGGCCAGCCCAGTTCTCCGTACTCCCGGCTCCAGCAGGTGAAAGAAAGCATTTCGTGAAGGTCAGCCAACCGGAGGAGAGGATAAGGAGCGCGCCTCACCTCCGAAAGCAGCCAAGATAAAGCACCTACTCCTGGACCATTAAAATGCTAAACTTCAGCCAGTCGGAAGTGACGTGTCAGCAGAGCCTCTCAGGTCAGCCACGTAATCCGCCGCCGCCTTGAAAACAGTCACCCTCTCCCCCAAATTGACCTGGAGACCCGGAAAGTGAGGCCCAGAGCCCATAACTCGTGGTTGCCCAGGCTTCTACGGCTCCCGGCCCCTCTGCGAACGCCCGCAGCAGACACGGTGACAAGGCGGCTTGGCCGGCCGAGACGCGTTGCGGGCCATGGGCTTCGGCGTCCCGCGACGCGCATGCGCGGCCGTCCGTCTCCCGAGGGCTGCTCCAGTCACCTGGGTGCCGGCACCTCAGCCACCCGACGCGGTGGGTTCCCTCTCGCCCATTCCTAGCCGTGCGGATCCTCACCTCCGGCCCTCTGTCGCCACCAGCGGCAGCGCCGGGCTAGGCCCTGCCGGGCCCGGGCGCTCCGAGCGCCCGTCTTCCACGAGCCGCTTCCGCTTCCGGCGAGTATTGTGTGTCGCGCCGCGGGGCGGGGGTGAGGGGAGGAGGAAGGAGGGAGCCAGTGCTCCGGCGGCTCCGCGCCCGGCACTCCGGGACACGGAGCCGGGAAGGTAGGTGCTGCGCCGCCGCCGCGCGAGGCCCAGAGCCCGCCCCTACCGTCCGGCTCCTCACGCCGCGGCCCCACGCCCGGCGAGCGCGTCAGCTGCCCGGCGCGCAACCACAGCTGCCTCCGCCCGCCTCGGGCCCGGAGGACGTTTGCCGCCCCGGCGACGTCAGCGCGTCCGGCGTTGCTTGGCTACCCCGCCGTTCCCCCTGTCCCGCCGCCTCTGGTCTCCCCGGGTGAAACTGACACAGTCACCGCGGGTCTGGACTTGGCAGCAGGCATCCCACCTTCACGTCACACCTCTCTGTCCCTCACTTAGACACGCATCCCTCTCTCCTCCCCTGCCAACCACGACGAGTGCCCCCTCAGTGGTCCTCATGCTCCCGCTGTGGCCAGGAGAAGATGGAGACCCGGTGGCACGGAGTTGTGGATAGTGCTCCAGAGAGGCTCCCGAGGTGGTACCCGACAGTGATAAAAAGGCAAAACGAGGACGCGTCTGAAGTTAGTTCTGCTGAGACAGAGTAATGGAGAGAGAGGAAGCACCAAGCCAGAGGGGTACAAGGCCGTGTTCTGGCTGCCCTCTCCACCACCCTCACCTCCGAATCCTCTCCATTCTTCACTAACCCTGAGCCCATTTCTCTTTCACACTACTTATTTGCCACTTAAGTGTGCATATAATTCTATTCATTGAGGTGAGGATGCTATCTAATGTCTGTAACATTAGGGAGTGGGCAGAGTCACTAGTCAAAATTGGAATCTAATAGGTAGGGAAGAAGCCATCCAACTGAACTTACCTGGATCTGAATTCCTTCCCTCCATTCTCAGGAGATAAGTTACCAACTCTTACTTAAAACTTGTCAATTGAATCATCACTGCCGCCCCAATTCGTTACATGACCACTTTTCTGTCAATGTGTGGGTGCCTACCAGATTTCCTTCCGGTGTTCAGGTCCCTTTCTATCTCAGAAGGGAAGTAGGGGTTATGGAACCAGAGAGGTTAAGTATTGACATCTTAAGGATGAAGTGGGAAGTGACTTTGAGTTCTGTTTATCTCTGGTGGTGTGTTTCCAAGTCTAAGGCTGTATCTAATAGGGCTTTGATTGCTTGCCTCTTTTCATGTGACAAGGTGGTCATACTAAATCCAGGCTGTACTCCAAGCATGTGCCACCATACCTGGAAATTTTCCTTATTTTTTTAAAAATTTATTATGTATACAGTATTCTGTATGCATGCCAGAAGAGAAAACTGGATCGCATTATAGATGGTTGTGAGCCACCATGTTGTTGCTGGCAAGTGAACTCAGGATGACTCTGTTCTTAACCACTAAGCCATTTCTCCAGCCCTACTTACTTTCATTTTATGAGCATTGATTGTTATTTTGCCTGCATATATGTCTATAAGGGTGTTAGATCCTTTAGAATTGGAGTTACAGACAGTTGTGAGCTGTCATGTGGGTGGTGGGAATTGAACCCTGGTCCTCTAGAACAGCAAATGTTCTTAACCACTGAGCCATCTCTCCAGCCCAAATTTCCTTCTTTTAATTCCTAGTCAATCCACTGAATGTCCAAGCAATTACTTATCAGTATCAACCTTGAAAGACTAAATTTGAAGGGTGGTGGCAGGGTACACCTTTAATCCCAGCACTTGGGAACCAGTGGCAGGCTGATGTCTATGAGTTCAAGGCCAGCATGATCTGCAGAGTGAGTTCTAGGAATGCAGGACTTTCACAGCAGTTGAGGGAAGGGGGGCGGGGATGGACTGCCAGCTCTCTTTAAAAAGTCATTGCCCTCTGCTCAATAGTATTCTCTTAGAGTTGAAATGTATTTGTTGTTTTGCAGCCATCCCAGCTGCACACAAGTAGAAATGAGATCCCGGAGAGAAACATCTAGGAGGAAGCATTCTTACTTTTGGCTAATCCATGGAAAGGAATGATTTCACATTTACCTGGAAAGAGTTTGCTGTAGTGTAACTCATTCAATGTGTTACCCTTAGAAAGGGGGGAGTAGCAGACAATCAAGGTTAAGCTGGAGTTAAAAAAAAAAAAAAATCCTAAAACATCTATGTGTTATGCACATAGATTGTTTGTTTTGGTTTTTGGTTTTTCTGAGACAGTGTTTCTCTGTGTAGCTTTGTGCCACCATTGCCCAGCAAGAAGTAGGGTTTTTTGTTTGTTTTGTTTTATGTAGATGCAGTGCCTATATATGAAGTTCTTTTAAAAAATAATCATAATAATGAGTTCCAGTACTGTTAGCCAAAAAAAGAGAGAGAGCAAACAAAACACTTTAAAAATTATCTTATTTGAAAATATTATTTTCAAACAGGATCTTATTGTACAGCCCAGGCTAGCCTCATCCTTGTATTGATCTGATCCTCCTGCCTCACAGTGAGCTACCACACCCAGCCAGAGCCTTAATACTTTGGTTTATATGGCATACCTCACTTCCTAGACTTTCTTCCCTCCCTTTAGAGATCTGAGTATTTTGGCCTGGCCCAGAACTCACTGTGTATAGCCCAGGTTGGCCTTCAATTGCTGCTTTTACCTCAGAAATGCTGGGGTTCTGGGTTTGAGCCACAACATCTACTAGAAAAATATGTCAAGTTAGAGTTAAAGGAAACTTCTCTTTGTAATGACAACAGAGGTGAAAGAAATAACTAGGGACTACTTTTTCTTGCCGAATCAGAAAAAGCAATATATTGGCTAGAAGTCACAAATACTGTAAACAGAGCAACAGATGAGTCTACTCCACAAGATGGGAAAATACCAAGATGGGGCTTAATGGGAGCTAATGTCAGAATAGGAGTAAAAAAAAAAAAAAAACAACAACAACAACGTAACCCTCCAACTAATGTTTTTCTTTTCTGTCTCTCCATCTCCAAGCTAAATAATGGCAGAGACAAGTCTATTAGAGGCTGGGGCCTCTGCAGCGTCCACTGCCGCTGCTCTGGAGAACCTGCAAGTGGAGGCAAGTTGTTCCGTGTGCCTGGAGTATCTGAAGGAGCCAGTCATCATCGAGTGCGGGCACAACTTCTGCAAAGCGTGCATTACCCGCTGGTGGGAGGACCTAGAGCGGGACTTCCCTTGCCCCGTCTGCCGGAAGACATCCCGATACCGGAGTCTCCGGCCTAATCGACAACTGGGCAGTATGGTGGAAATAGCCAAACAGCTCCAGGCAGTCAAGCGGAAGATCAGAGATGAAAGCCTCTGCTCTGAACACCATGAGGCCCTCAGCCTCTTCTGCTATGAAGAACAGGAGGCTGTCTGTCTAATATGTGCAATTTCTCATACCCACCGGGCCCATACCGTCGTGCCCCTGGATGATGCTACACAGGAATACAAGGTGGGCAACCAGACACATGACGCCCGTGTGAGGAAAGAGCATGCATACTCTCTGAGTTAGAGGGGTTTAAGCTCCTGAGGCAAGGCTATCTATGTTCCTCCACATTCCCCTCAGAACTCTATGTACGTAGGTATTCAGTACATCTGGCCAGTTGTCCTCCACAGGAACAGTGAGGAGTGCCCACAACTTTTGTGACTTATTGCAATACAAGAGTTCAGAGTACTGTTGTATATGGCTTTGGACTCTGTCAGATTTTAAACAAACGAGTGAACAGTGTAAGGGTCTGAAAATAGTTTGGAAGAACTGAAAAATATTTTGATTTCTTCATTTATGCCTATTTACTCAGGGTGTTTTTTTTTTTTTTTTTTTTTTTTTTCCCATTTTTTGGAAATAGCTAACTAACATCACTTTAGACTGATATCCATCAGACTAAGTTGAATCAGTCTGTGTCTTCTTCATACAATGGGTAACAAGACATTTAACATTTAAATTGTTAGTGAGGGCACAGGGTAAATGTTTTAGTAATTAAATTTTAAAAAAAAATCAAAGATGGTAAAAGTTTAGTTTTTTTCATTTCATTCTGCTTAATTAACAAAAATCTTGAAAAATATTTCAGGCAATTTACAGTCAAGTTTTCTTTTGTTTATAAGTGGTTAGATCTGAATGGAAGCACAGGTAAAAAAGGATATCAAGACAGGCATGGTGATGCACAGACAAACACTCAGAGGGTGGAGGCAGGAGGATGGAGAGTTGAAGATCATCTGTGACCACATGTTGGAAGCCAGTCTGGGCTGCTGGAGACCTTACCATGAAACAACAAATAAATAAATAAATAAATAAATAAATAAATAAATAAAATAAGGATATCGAGGTGTGAAAGGTAACTTGTAGCTCAAGTGTGACCTGGTAATAGACTGTGTTCTTAGTGTACACACCCTGCATAGAATCTCACCACCACCAGAACAAACATAATGTTGAGTGGTGTGATAGGCAGTTGTCCATAAGAAAACAGTGGGAAACAAAACAACTGATGACAGCTAGACTGCTAGATTCAGGGGAGGAAAGACAGGTGTGCCATAAACATACAGAGACAAACTCATGGCAGGGAAAAGGAGATCTGTAAAAGGTCCAGTTCTAGGCAAAGAAGAGAGTCAGATCTTGAAGTGACGAGAGAATAGAAATTAAATGATTTAAGAGTGGGGAATATGCCTTAGTGGTAGAGCATTTGCCAAGCATGCCTGAGGCCCTTGGTTTGATCCCAAGTACTTCAAGGGAAGAACAATCAGGACTGTAGAGATGACTTAGCAGTTAGGAGCATGTACCAGTCTGGCAGATGACCTGAATTTGGTCCCTAGATGGCAGTTCACCACTGTCTATAACTTCAGTCCCCGGGGGGGATCTGATGCACTCTGCAGACCTCCATGGGTGCCAGCATACACATACGCACATACACTCAGACAGGCTGAAAACAGTCTCCAACAGCAGAAGGAATAATAAATGGGCTAAGCTCTTGAGTAATGGATGTACTGACTAACTCCAAACATCTCCTCTCCTACTTGCTCCCAACCCTCAGGAGAAATTGCAGAAGTGCCTGGAGCCCCTGGAACAGAAGCTGCAGGAGATCACCTGCTGCAAAGCCTCTGAAGAAAAGAAACCAGGGGAGCTCAAGGTAGAGCAGGCAGCCTGTTGCTTTCACTGCTTGGCTGGGTATTTGCCTGTGAGCGAATCATCAATACTTTACTTGATCTGCTGGTTTGTCATTACACACTATATTTAAATCACCTAAGTACTGAGAAGGGTAAAAAAAATGAAGGGGCTAGTGAGATGGCTCAGTAGATAAAGGTGCTTGCTCTGCCAGCATCAAGACTCGAAGCCCACATGAAGGTAGAAATATAAAAATGAATCCACAGAGTTGATGTCTGGGTTCCATATGTGCACTATAGCCCACATATTCACACACTCATACATACAATAATAAATACTTTTTAAATAAATAGAGGCAGGGTGGTGGTGGCGGCACAGGCTCCAAAGCTATGCAAAGTTTTTAAACCCTATCTCGGGAAAGAAAAGAAAAAAAAAAAGAATGTAAGATGGGAGCTTCTTAGAAGGTTTGGGGGAAAGAGAATTTGGAAAGTTCATAGGGAGAGAGGGAGGGGTTGAGCAAGAGCTCCCAGAACGGTTCAGTGACCTTTTTGTTTTTAATTATTCCTTTTTTTTTTTTTTTTTTTTTTTTTTAATGTGTATGGCTATTTTGCCTATGTGTGTCTTTGCAACATGGTGCCTGCCTGATGCCCAAAGAGGCCAGAAGAGGGTATCAGATTCCTCAGAACTGTTTGCAAGTGTCATATGGGTACTAAGAATTGAACTCAAGTCCTCTGGAAGAACAACAGTGAAAGCCCTTAAATTCTCCAGCCCCACAGGACCAGTTTGTTTATTTGTTTGAGAGAGTCTTACTATATAACCTTGGCTGGCCTGGAACTCATTATGGTAGAACTCATTATGGTTTCAAACCCAAAAAGGTCCACCTGCCTTTGTCTCCCAGGTGCTGGGAATAAAGGTGTGCACCATAACATTTGGCTTAGAACTGCATCCTTATAATTAAGTAATCTAAAGTAATGTTGATTCATTCAGCCTTCATCTGTGGAGTTCTTGGTAAAATACCTTGATCAAAAGTAACTTAAGGATGAAAAGTTATATTTTAGCTTGCAGCTCCAGAGGGAGTCTGTAATGGCAGGGTAGAGCACTATAGCAGCAGGAACAGGAAGCTGCCAAATCAGATTTTTATGCATACATAGGAAGTAGAGCAAACAGGCAGTAGGATAAAGCTATAATAAACTCTCAAAGCCTGCCCCCAGTGACATACTTCCTGCAGCAAAGCTCCATCTCCAAAAGGTTCTGTAACCTCTGCAAAGGTCCTGGGGACTGAGTATTAAATACATGAGCCTACAGAGGGTATTTCTCCTTTAAACTGTGATAATATCTGAAGTATGACTGTTGTCTTTAATTATAAATTTTCATTTCAGTGATATTTAAAACTAAAATTCAGGCCCAGCAGTGGTGGCACACGCCTTAAATTCCAGCACTCAGGACCAGCTTGGCCTGCAAGAGCTAGTTCCAGGACAGCCTTCAAAGCCACAGAGAAAAAATTCAAAAAATTCCTATGACTTTAAATGTGTCCTCCCCCACCCTTTTTCCCCTTTGCTTCCCTATCAACTCAACCTCCAAAATTGGACTCAATAGCCACTTTAAAATAGTTTTTTAGGCGGCTGGAGAGATGGCTCAGTGGTTAGGAGCACTGGCTGCTCTTCCAGAAGTCCTAAGTTGAATTTCCAGCATCCACATGGCAGATCAAAACTATCTGTAACTCCAGTTCCAGAAGATCCTACGTCCTCACACTGACACACGTGAAGGCAAAGTGCCAATGCACATGAAATAAAAGTAAATAAAAAATGTTTTAATTATGAAAAGTTTGAATAAATAAAACATACATATAATCCCCACACTCAGGATACTAAAACAGGAGAGGGTTGCAAGAAAGAACATCCAAAACTGAGGGTATGGTATCAGTTCACCAGCATAGCAGACAAAAAATACAAGTTTATGAACTGGATGTGGTGGGGCACACCTATAATCACAGAGGAAGCCTGAGCAGTGATATTACAAGTTCACATCATAAGTTCAGAGCCAGCACAGGCCAGCCTGGGAAATTCAGATAAGATAGCCTGCCTACAAACCAGGCAGTGGTGGTGCATTCCTTTAATCCCAGCACTCGGAAGGCAGAGGCAAGCGGATCTCTTCTGAAGTCAAGGCCAGCCTGGTCTACAAAGCTACACAGAGAAGCCCTGCCTAAAAAAGCAAAAAAGGATAACTTACCTACATAATTTTAAAGAGACTGTCCTATCCCGTAGCACCATAGAGTGAATGTTGTTTAGTTTTTGTTTTTGTTTTGGTGATAGAGCTTCACTGTGTAGTTGTGGCTGGCCTGGAACTCTATTTCATCCAGACTTGGCCTTCAACTCACAGAGCTATGTCTGCCTATGCCTCCTGAATATGGAGATTAAAGGCATGTACAGTGCTCCCAGCTAGAAGTAATTTCTAATATGTGAAAAGGCACTATACTATAGTCATATGCTTGCACCTGTATGTGACATTATCAGGTGAAACAAATGTGGGTTCATCCCGAGGTAGATGTGAGTCAAACACCACAAGCAGCTTGACGGCATGGTGAAGTCTAAGAAAAGCAGAATACAGTAATAGAGTGTTCTTTTTTTGTGTGTATGTTTTTGTGTATATATGTATGTGTGCTTGCATGCCCATGTACATACTCTCTCAGAGACCAGAAGAGGACAAATCAGATCCCCTGGAACTAGAGTTACAGGCAGTTTCCAGCTACCCAATGTGAGTGCCGGGAGCCAAGCTCAGGTCCCCTGGAAGCGAAGGAAGCATTCTTAACTACTGAGTCATCTCTCGGCCCCTAAAAGATAGTCTCATGAGTACAGTTCAGCACACCTGCTTCTAACACCGCACACATTCCAAATCTGTGTTCAGGACAAAGGTGAGAATACATCCTGCTCCATTCAAAGTGAGGAAGCAGCAAAGGGCCCTGTAATGAAACCATGTCTTTTGTTTGTGAGATTAGCTTCATATCAGGACCATCAAGCTTGTGAGGCTCATGGGCTTTTGCTTATATCCCAGCCATTCTTCAGCCTGGCACTGACTCTGTCCCTGCCCACTTCTTTCTGAGTCCCATCTCTACTTGTCTTTTGAGTTGATGCCTCCCTGTCAGTCACAAAGACCTGAGACCCCTTCCCTGGGGACTGTCATTTACCGGAAGGCACAGAGGGAGGAGGATGTACTGATAACCCTCAGAGAGTAGTGTGACTGCTATTTGAGTCCTGTACTCTCAAACTTCAAGGATGTTTGCTGGAAGTTAAAGTATGTGCTGCAATCAAGAGCATGTTTCAAATTTTAAGCAACTAATTTACTAAAAAAAAAAAAATATTTGGAATATGATCCTGGAATGGGAAATACCTATTCTCTATCAATAGAAAAAACAGCTCTCGCCTCCCATCAAAAGGGATAAGAATTTATTCTGGAGCTAAATATGAGAGACCATGGCCTTGAAACACAGATTTAGGTCATCCCAAACTCCATGTTTCAACTTAGAAACGGTTTCATGAAGTTTTTATAGAACAGAACAAAGAAAGCCATAGAACAAGGCACTTTTCAGAACTATTAGTAGAAACATGAAATAGATAGTTATAAATACAGCAAAATGGAGTAAATCTCCGCTATAGGCCTCAGATGCTGTCTGGCAATGCTTAGTTTTTTGTTAGCAATAATTAGGGATTTATTAAATTAATATATGTTTTATCTGTTAATCACAGGCTGTTAAGTCCAGCACAGAGATAGGCACAGGAAAGGCTATTTAGAAGGCTAAAGCTAGCCCAAGACAAAATGTCCAACCTCTCTGCACATCACTTCAGTTCTAATCAGTTAGCCTTTGCAGACACAGCTTCTTCCCAGGGGTTATCAATCCATCAGAAAAGACTTAGCATGTTTAACATGTTCAGAGGGGACATACAAGCATGGCAGGAGGATTCCAAGTTCAAGGCTAGCTTACACTATATTACAAGACCCTATTTGGAAAAACAAACAAAAAACGAATAGAAAAAGCAACCAAAACAAGTTTGGCCCTAAAGGCTAAATATATATTTTGCATCAACTCATTAAATTGATCCTGATTGTAATAGCTTCTTATTTCTCTGATTTTTATCAGATTAATGTATCATGGTTATTAGTGATAGAAATCTTTGGCTTTCTATAGCCAGGCATTGGTGGTGCACACCTTTAGTCCCAGCACTCAGGAGGCAATGGCAGGTGGATCTCTGTGAGTTTGAGGCCAGCCTGTTCTGCAGAGTTTCAGGACAGGCTCCAAAGCTGCAGAGAAACCTGTATGGAAAAGAAAAAGAAAAAAGAAAAAAAGAAAGAAAGAAAGAAATTTTTGGCTTTCTAGTATTTGTATTTTGTCAGACTTTATAAGCCAAACATCAGAGTAGAAAATAGCAAAAACATCCATAACAGTGGATATCATCACATCATTGAGTTCTTGAATCTTGAATATCTTATGAAAATATAAAAGGCTAATTTAGGTTTTAAAAACTCAAGTATTGATTGTTTTAAATCTTTCCACTGATTTGCAACGGCAAATCAGATATTGGGTGACCGACTGCAGGTGACAAGTCGTCTGTTGGGTTACTGCAGCCTCACAGGGAGAGAAGCAGGAATGCTACTCAAGTCTTCCCAGTGACCAGGAAGTCTATATGGAGCCTGGAGGGTCTGGGAGAGGCTTCCTTTTGTCTCCTGGTCCTGACTGCACCCTCCCTTGTTCTCAGAGACTAGTGGAGAACCGCAGACAGCAAATCCTAAAGGAGTTTGAAGAGCTCCACAGGAGGCTGGATGAGGAACAGCAGACTCTCCTTTCACGACTGGAAGAAGAAGAGCAGGACATCCTACAGAGACTTAGAGAAAATGCTGCTCACCTTGGGGACAAGCGCCGGGACCTGGCCCACTTAGCTGCTGAGGTGGAGGGCAAGTGCTTACAGTCAGGCTTCGAGATGCTTAAGGTTCGACCCTTGCTCCTGCATAGTTCCTCGGGTCAAATGCATTCTAGGTTTGTGCAGGCCATCCTGTCAGCCTGGGGTGCACCCTCTCTTACTCTACTTCCCTCAGCCCAGAATTCTCTTCAGATGTGTGCAGAGGACCTTTTTCTAGAGTAGGGCACCTCAGATTTTCACCACCCCTTCCAAAAAAATTTTTTTTTAATATCCTTACATCTTTTCAGAAATTATATGCTTGGAGCTAGTGAGTTGGCTCAGTGGTTAAGAGCACTTGCTTCTCTTGGAGGGGACCCAGGTCTAGTTCTCAGCGTCCACATGGCAGCTTACAACACACCGTAACTGCAGCTCCTGGGTTCCAGTGCCCTCTTCTGGTCTCTGCAGGCATTGCTTGCACATGGTGTACAGCATACATAAGCAAGACACTCATACACATAAAATAAATTTTTTAATGTAATTTTTACCCCCCAAAAGATAATTCTTCCCAGAAGACAGAAGTCCCTTCTACTTAGTGATCAACTGTATGTTCCCATTTTTGTAAATATAGTTACCCTTACTTTCCAATCCTAGAACTTAACTTACCTAGTGCTAAAGCAGGGGTTATAGAAGCATAATTTAAAGGATACTCAGAATATGTTTAAGTAGTACATTGCTACCTTTGAAATGTTTGATATAGTCCATCTTCAGATATGTGGTGATGATGACAAGGTTGTAGGAAGCATATTACTTATTTCAGATAAGACCACTGACTCGAGTATCACTGCACACTTGTGTGCATTATATGTTGTTTGGTATTTATCCCTTTGTCTTTCATTTGTGTGTACTCTGCTAACTGCATTAAACTTGAAATTCTGCAGAGGTGAGATTTGTTGTGTTTGTCATCTGGATCCCAAATAGTCTCAAATCAGGACTGATGTAAATTACTGTTTATTAACCAGTACTAGACAGGGATGTCCAGACCACAGTGTGAAGCATCCTGTGCCACCAGTCTGGAACTGTCTGTACTGTTTCTCATTGATGCTAAGGTGTGTGGTTGGAATTTGGAGGGACAAAAGAGCAGCCACGGCCTCTGTCCCCTACAGGGAGCCTCCAGTGTCTTTGAGGAAGAAAGACAAATGTTGAGGAAACCATTTGGAAGTGATATTAACTATCAAGCTTTGTTATGATCAACAGTTGAAATTGGGCATTCCATGAGAGACTCACACTTAGGTCCATCTGAAGCTCACCCCTTGATTTGGGGCCCTCAGTTTGCCTGGTGCCTAGCTTGAAGATCTAGCACTTTTCAGGGAGGAGGGAGAACCTGTTTGCCTTCGTGACCCATGAATTCTAGGGCCAATCTTACTTTGTTTTCTCTTTTCCTCTAGGATGTGAAAAGTACTCTGGAAAAGTAAGTGACTGTCTCTCTGAATTAGGTCTTGGCTTAGAGGCTACAGGAAGTAAGAAAGGGAAGGCTATGCAGTGTCTAAGTGAGATGTGAAGAAGGAGAACCATTAGAAGTGATAATGCTTCACCTCCCTTTTGACATCAGGTAGTGTCTGGTTAGAGCAGTGATAATGGGGAGCTGTGCCTGTGGGCGGAGCTGTGTGCAAACAAGATGGCGGAAGGGTTGGGAGCACAGGAGTAGAAGCAGTGGAGAGGTAGTTGTCCGTTTGCATGAAATGTAGGAATATTCCAAGGAAGTCCTGAGACTCATTCTCAACATACAGGCCTGTCAAGGGAACCTCATAGCTCTCTGGGGATAATAAAAAGGAAGCTACTACCTTCAAGGAGGAAGGACAGTGGGAGAGGCCTGGTTCTGCTTTTCTCCAAAGATGACACCACACCACTCACATGATCAGTTGGCTGCAGCTCCCCCTGACTCTGTTCTGGCTTTCTTTATCTCCCATCCCTCCCAGATGTGAGAAGGTGAAGACCATGGAGGTGACAACAGTATCTATAGAGCTGGAAAAGAACTTCAGCAATTTCCCCCGGCAGTACTTTGCCCTCAGGAAAATCCTTAAACAGCTAATTGGTAAGTTGTTCCCAAAAGGAAACCGGCACAGGGCATGCAACGGAATGGGAGGTTAAGACCCTTTGAGTGAGCTTCCTTCTCATGCCAGCCCCACCTGCCCCACCTTAAATCATAGACTTCAGAGAAGAAGCCTTAGGTGTCATCTGCTCAGTATAGGGACCTAGAAACCTTAAAGGTTTCCTAACTCATCAGGTGGAGTGAGCAAAGGGAACATCATTAACATTTATGTAGAGAAAAACAGTCACAGAGCAGAACTGTTACGGGGTGCAAGCCGAACTCACCCTGTCCCCAGCCCCTACATACAGCTCACTTGATCTGGAGCCTTCTTTCTGGCCTTCCCTCCCTCCCCTAGACAGTGCCTTTCATTTTTTCCATACAGCAAAAGCAAGCATGATTTGGGAAAGTTAACCAACCCACAGTGTTCTGGGGACCTTTCAGGGGCCAGGTTTTGTACAGGCAGGCTAGGAAAGTGAGGCAGGGATGTTTAGCTATTCCCATCCTCATTTAGCTCCCCACTCTGGCTTCTCCCGCCAGCGGATGTGACCCTGGACCCTGAGACGGCTCATCCTAACCTCGTCCTATCAGAGGATCGGAAGAGTGTCAAGTTTGTGGAGACAAGACTCAGAGACCTCCCTGACACACCACAGCGTTTCACTTTCTACCCTTGTGTCTTGGCTACTGAAGGCTTCACCTCAGGACGACACTACTGGGAGGTGGAGGTGGGCGACAAGACCCACTGGGCAGTAGGAGTATGCCGGGACTCTGTGAGCAGAAAGGGCGAACTGACTCCACTCCCTGAGACTGGCTACTGGCGTGTACGGCTGTGGAATGGGGACAAGTATGCAGCCACCACCACACCTTTTACTCCTTTGCACATCAAGGTGAAACCTAAGAGGGTGGGCATATTCCTAGACTATGAGGCTGGAACATTGTCTTTTTACAACGTCACAGACCGCTCACATATCTACACCTTCACTGATACTTTTACTGAAAAACTTTGGCCCCTCTTCTACCCAGGGATCCGGGCTGGCCGGAAGAATGCTGCACCACTTACTATCAGGCCCCCAACAGATTGGGAGTGACAAGAGGTGGAGCTTAATTGGGGTGATGCAGGGTCAAGAGTGACGGGTCTTCCTTACTGTGACCTGCTGGAATGTCTTGTTGTCTGCATGGTTCCAGTCCTGAACCATCTTGAGAAACCACCTGGTCTCTGAGATGGTTTGTGTGAAGGAGTAAAGACAGGACTGGGCTGTATGACAGCACAGATGAGTGTCCCTACTTAACTGTAGTGGGAGAGCGGGCTCCCAGGGGACTGTAATCTCTGGTGTCCAGCTGGTTTCCTATTGCACAAGGACAGGTTGGTAAAGAAAAGGCTTTTCTAGAAATAGAAAGTCTATATGAAAGAGTCTTAACTTGCTTAAAATGCATGAAACAGAAACCTTTAAAAGGCTTCTGTGACTCAAGCGTAGCCTTGTTCCTTGTAGGAGCGCATAGGGATCTATATACCTCTGTGTAGAAAGATGAGTGACAGTTGCTGTCATGAGTCTTAGAAGTTGAGAGGCTTTTCTGAAGGCAGAGATTGGGCATTAAAGTTAGGAGGAAGATCAGGGAGGAGGCTAAAGGGACATTCTAAAAATGAATGAAGAAGAGGGAGATTTCTTTTGTTTTCCCCTCTTAGGGTAATGTTACCATTACCCATAGGATTAGCCAGAGGTTGGAATTTGGGGAGAAGGATAAGGTGGGCAGAAAGGAGAATCCAGGTCTCGAAGCTGGTTTCTCCCTGTCCCCTACAGTTGGTTGTCTCCAAGAAGTGGGCCCACCTTTCTCCCCTCTGGAGGTGAGATGGAAGTGATTCTACAGGACACATACATCTGCCCTTCCACTGTTTTCCCAAGGGAACTTGGGGAGGAGTCAGCTATTAGAGGAAAGAAAATGGTGTGTCCAAAGCCCTGGCCTTAAAGAATGTTAAAAGTAGTTGTTCCCAAGTTGTCTGCCTTGTCCCCTGGCTCAGGTGCCTAAGCCAGAAAGGAAAAAAGGTAATGGAGTTTTTCTCGCCCCGTGAGAACAGGGTAGAAGAGGGTGGTATGTAGCAAAGAGCCAGACAGACAGCTTCATTCGCTTCTATTACCATCCTTCACCCGTTGACATTCCCCTTCTCAGAATGTAAATCATTTTAAGTTAGGCCAAAATAAACAACCCATAGGGAACATATGTTGTCACAAAAGGTGATGAGATGCATGCCAAACCAAACAACCCGAATTGTCTGCTGCTTGGGTAATCTTCATACGAGACTGCATCAAGGGCATTTCCATTCTCCCACCTCAACAGGACTTTGTCCACTCTCTTCTTACCTTTGTGCCTTGACTGTGGTTCTTTGTGGCAAGATAATTTGGTTGGTCAAAATATGGAACAAAGGATCCACTGATGTGATCTGAGTTGTGTGGTAATTTGACAGTGGCCTTATGTGAGACTCACTGGGTATGAAAAATACGTGTTCTTGGGTCTCACCCTCTGTCCTTAATGGAGGTTTGGGTGGGCCTAGGAATCTGCGTTTTAACATACTCTTCTCATCTGACTCGAAAGGCCCTTACAAAACACCAACACCAGGGTTTCAGCTAATCTTGCTCTGAGCTGCAAGCCTGGTTCTCCACCCTGATGTCCTGGCAGGAGCCTTGAAGCAGGAAGAGATCTCTGCCTCCCCTGACTAGTTCTGAAGTCCTCAACTGTGGATTCAGCTCAAATCCCTCTGCTCCTGACCTTGGATGCTCTCAGCTATTAAGTGGGCATAGTTACTAGGTTAGCAGAGAGACAGGCCATACTGTTGGCAGGTTTCTGTGCCATATAGAAACTGTCTACGAGGCCAGTACTGTAACAGCAAGTGACTTCTTTAATAAGTGGAAAAGTAGAAGAAAGTCGTGTCTTCCAAGGGCTAAGCTCTTTCCTCAGGGATGTCTTATCCTGTTTCTTTATTTCCTCCCTCATGACAATGACCTTTCCCACTTTGAGCCCCACCAGGCACCAATACTTTATGGTTTTGAGTTAGGGTCTAGTCATATGGCCCGTTTTGACCTGTATGTAATTTGCAGCATTCCTACCTCAATCTCCCAAGTGCTGGGATAACAGAAATATAACACAAAGCTAGACTTGCCTGTTTCCAGACATCTGTCTTTGGCTGCAGGGGAGTAAGAAAGTCTAGTCTGATGTCTACTGCACAAAATCCTCTCCGTACGTGAAGAGACTAGACGTCTGTCCTGGAAATGTTTCCCTGATTTAAGATCCTACACCTGCTTCACTAGCCCTGTTGGAACCCTACCTAATAAATACATGAGGAGTACCAAATTAGGTCCCCCTGCCGGGGAAGGATGCACAGGGCAGGTGAGGTCGTGGGCCCGACACTACAGTTCCCAGCAGGCCTTGCGTGTGGGGGGGCGGGACATCCGCGAAAAGGGGCCCACGCTCATGGCGGGCCAAGTGAAGGACCGTGAGGCCTTCCAGAGACTCAGCTTCCTATACCAGGTGAGACGGAGGTCCAGGCGGGCAGCAGTCCGGTGCTGCGGCCGCGGAATGACCCGGGTGGCTGTCCCTGTCCCCAGGCTGCACACTGCGTCCTGTCGCAGAACCCGGAGAACCAGGCCCTGGCCAGGTTTTACTGCCACACGGAAAAGACCATCGCGAAGCGGCTGGTCCTGCGGCAGTAAGGCGCGGGCGAGCGGGCGGGAGGAGCCAGTGGCGCGGGCAGGCGGGCGAGCGGGTGCCCACTGCCTCTCCTCCTCACTCAGGGACCCGTCGGTGAAGAGGACGCTCTGTCGCGGCTGCTCATCTCTCCTCATCCCGGGCCTCACCTGCACTCAACGCCAGAGACGTGAGTGCTGCCCCCGGGGCACCGTAGCTGCTCCTTACTTCTGGCTGTCTGCAGCTAACTTGTCCCTAAAAACAGCTTGGACTACATGACACTCTGTAGCTAAAAAAAAACAAAAACAAAAAATAACCCTATTTGCTTATTACTTAATTTCTACGATTAAGTACTAACAGCTGAGTGGGTCGCAGTGGTTCATGCCTTTAATCCTAAGTGATCTCCATGATTTCAAGGCCGTCCTGATCTACATAATCCAGGCAAGCTAGGACTGCATAGTGAGACCCTAACTTCAAGCAAAAACACGTAACCTCCCCTTGGTTTTAGGTTTTTTTTGTTTTGTTTTGTTTTGTTTTTTGTCTGTGTGTGTGTGTGTGTGTGTGTGTGTGTGTGTGTGTGTGTGTGTGTGTGTGTCATGGTAGCCCAAATCGGCCTCCAACTCCCTGAAATCTCCTGCCTCAGCATCCCTAGCATTAGGATTACATTCGAGACAACACACCCAGCTACTAGAGTAGTACTTTTAAAGGCTTGGATTGGAAGAGAGTAGAGTGCTGTGTTAATTCTACCAATGACAGGGAAGTATGTATGTCCTGATAAACAGAACCAGACAGAAACTCTAGACATTGGTTAGGATCCCCACACAAGAAAACTTGCTGTCAAGGGACTGGGAAGATGGTTCAGTGCGCAAGGTGCTTGATGTGCAAGTATGAGGCCTTGTCTTCAGCTCTCTAGCACCCTTGGGGGCCAGGTGAAGACATACAGATTCTGGGGCCTCTCTGGCCAGCCAGTCTTAACTGGAAACATCTAGCTCTAGGTTCAGTGAGAGACCCTGTCCCACAAAGGTAATGGTGCAATGTGGTAAAGGAAGACACCCAAACTAGATCTCTGTCCTCCACATGTACAGCCACATGAACACTCCTGTGCACACACACAGGCATACTCATGCATGTAACACTAACATGTACACAATATAAATAATAAATATAAATACAAGTAATTTTAAAAAGAAAGACTGTGCTATAAGAAAATGAACACACAGGAGGCTGGAATTTGAGGTAGGTAGGATAGAGATATGAGACAAGAAAGCTAGACCTTGTTATAAGAGTTTGATCTTCATCTCAGAGTTTCAAAGAATTGATGTTTGAGCAGGGCCTTCCATACACACATCAAATTTGCATTCCAAATGCAGACAGGATGGAATTCTTGCTGACAGTGGAAGAAAACTGCAAACCAAAAAAGCAAGACCATTTCCTCAGAAACCTGGTCACTCTCTTCTCTCCCCTCCCCCCAATATCCCAGGCTGTAAGGGACAGAGCTGGACAGTGCAGACCTGCCTGACATGCCAGCGTAGCCAGCGGTTCCTCAATGACCCCAAGCATCTGCTCTGGGGTGACAGGCCTGAAGCCCAGCTGGAAAATCAGGCAGGTGAGCAGTGGAAGGGGAAGATGAGGGGGCCCCCAAGAGAGAGGAGTGCAGAGTGGGAAAGCAAGGCAGGCAGGCCTGACCCATGTTAGGGGTGCCACAGTATTAAGATACTAATTCCTCTGGTTTGATTCTCCTCCAACTGCCTAGATTTCAAACCATCAGAGCCTCTGCCAAACACAGCCCACCTCTCTAAGGAGAACACACAGCCTCAGGCTTCAAGCACCAATGATGAATTCACTCCATTTTCCAGATAAATAAAAGCTGAATTTTGTTTGACTTTGTGTTTTGTGGTATTTCAACTGGTTATATAATTTTCCTTTTTTGGGGTGGTGTTTCCTCTTCTTACATGTTTATTCCCCACCATGCAGAGAACTCCCAGTTATCATACACTGCTCTGTCCCACCGAGCAGCCCTTGTCTTAAGGCTCTGGTGCCCTGTCACCCCTGCATCCTCAATACAATCGTGTGTTTGGAAATCAAGCTTCAGCATTTCTTACATGTTCATGTACCTTCTCAACGGATCGCACGTTGAGGTGGTCCTGACTGTTGAGATGGAGAGGCAGACACTGTTCCTGTCCTCTGGGTATACCCCGACTTGGCCCTTTCCTCATCTCAGATTTGTCCTCTATAAAATCATAAGGAAAACTGTTCAGGCCTGAACTAACAACATAAAAGGTGCTAAACATGGCAGGTCTGTTTATGTATGCTCCATGGGTAAATTCTCTGAAATCTACGGAGAGCCTACTCAAAGACAAAATTTGTAAACTGACTTCTTTGCTGGCTACACACTATCATGTTACCCCACCCTCCCCCCCCCCCCAGAAGTGTAGAAACAAAATTCACTGTCCTGGGAGTGAAATTTTCTTCTCTTTTACCTTTAACCCTGTGTTACACTTACCTACTGATGCGTCTTTTTAAAAATCTGTTTATAATGTGCCATAGGCAACAATGCTTGCTACATTTGGGATTTTGAAGGAGTTAACTCCCAAACTGCTCCAGAAGACTCAGTAACTTAATGTCTCATTGGCCAAAGCAAGGCACACCTCCAAGGCCAGATTCCTTGAAAAAGAGTCTGTACCAGGACAAGAACACTGGGTTATCAGTTTCCTGGGACCATGCTTGTAGCAATCTACTGTATCTTTGCTTTGTCTTTGTCCCCCATTCAGCCTTTCCACTGATTCCACAAGTCAGTAAAAAGTGCTAAGTAGTGTGTACGTAACAGCGACATTTAGCAATCCATTTCTAGAGATTGTGCCTGGCTGGGTCTACTGATAGCCGTCAGGGACTAGTGCTATAAAAGCACACCTCATACTTGGAGTCTGCATCTTTAGCTCATGTTCTTTGGCTTCTCCAGTAAGTCATTTCTGATGTTCCTTGGCTCTTGCACACTAAATCTAATTTATGGACATGGACAACGTGTGTGTGTGTGTGTGTGTGTGTGTGTGTGTGTGTGTGTGTGTGTGCGCACACAATGGAACATGCCTTGTCTCAGAGTTTCTATTGCTATGAAGAGACCCCATGACCATAACAACTTTTCCAAAGGAAAGCGTAGAATTGGGGCCAGCTTACAATTTCAGAGGTTTAGTCCATTGTCCTGGTGGTGAGAAGTATAGAGGCATGTAGGCATAGTGCTGGAGAAGGAACTGAGTTCTACCTCTTGATGGAAGACAGCAGAAGGAGGCTATGTGTGTGTCACACTTGGCATAGTCCGAACATATAAGACCTCAAACCTGCCTCCAGGGACATGCTTCCTTCAACAGGGCCACA